GATGTCCTCCTATTGCCTTATGCCTTCCTCAATGTTGAAAATTTAGCAATCCTATTGCTTCTTTGAAAATAATGTTTTTTTGGTCTGGTGGCTTTTAAGATTTTTATTTTGTCTTTGATTTTCAGCAGTTTTACTCTGTTGTCCTGTAGTCATGATCTATTGCTGTATAACAAATCACCCCAAAATTTAGCAGCTTAAAACTACACTGATTTATTACTATCTGCCCGTCTGTAAGTCCAGGCACAGCTCAGGTGGGTTCTTTGTTTCCTTTTCTCTGAAGATGCATTCAAAATGTTGGCAGAGCTGGGGTTTTAGCTGAAGTCTTGATGGGGAAGGAATATGCTCCCAAACTCATGTAGTTTTGGTGAGATTTAGTTCCTGGAGGGTTGTTTGACCAAGGCTATTGGCAACCCTCTGTTCCTTCCCCTTGGTCTTTCCCGTCTGATAGCTCGAGTTATCAAGATGAGAGCTGATAAGACAGTAGAGCCTTAGTGAGACAAAAGTCACAATTATAACCTAATCACAGAAGTAGTATCCTCTCAATGTTACTGTATTCTGAAGTAACTGAGGACGGGATTTCACAAGTCTATGACTAAGAAGTTTGGGCACTATTAGAGAGCATGTCAGAAGCTGCCTTTCACATGCACACCTAGGTGGTTTTCTTTGCATTTCTTTTGCTTGGGTTCTCTGAACTTTCTGAATAAGTGGCGTGATATCAAATAGTTTAATGTGTAATTAAAGTCCCAAGTGGAAAGGATAGAGGGCAGAAATAGTTTGAAGCAATAATGACTAAGCGTTGTTGAACATCTGGGCCATCTCTAGGTCTGTTGCTATTGACCATTTCCTCTCTTGACCATGGGTCACATATCTAGCTTTTTTGTGTATCTCGTCATTTATTGAGGTATGCTGTCACTTTTTGTGTAAAAAGAGTAGAGGCTGCAGTAATGTATTTACTGCTGGTAAAGATTATGCTCTTTTCTCCCTCATGCAGTTAGTGCATGAAACAGGGTCAGTCGCCGGGCGCAGTGGCTCACGCCTGTAATCCTAGCACTTCGGGAGGCTGAGGTGGGTGGACCACCTGAGGTCAGGAGTTCAAGACCAGCCTGGCCATCATGGTGAAACCCCATCTTTATTTTATTTTATTTATTTATTTATTTATTTATTTTGAGACAGAGTCTCACTCTGTTGCCAGGCGCTAGGCTGGAGTGCAGTGGCACAATCTCGGCTCACTGCAACCTCCGCCTCCCGGGTTCAAGCAATTCTCCTGCTTCAGCCTCCCGAGTAGCTGGGACTACAGGCGCACGCCACCACGCCCAGCTAATTTTTGTATTTTTAGT